TATACTCTCTCTTACTCTCATATACTCACATACTCTAACACACTCTTTCAAACACTTTTATACTCTTTTAATCTATTTCTCCCTAGTCCATAATTCTCAACTTTATTCAAGTTTCAACAAAAAGAAAACTTGCGTAAGTGTGTAAAATTAGCAATTTGGAAGGCTTAGAAGCTTTAACAATTGAAATCAAGTTTGGAATTCTAGATTGGCGAACTAGGTATATAAGCTATAATTAATTTTCATTTTTAGGGTTTTAATATTACAAATTTTAAAAATGGTCGATTCCTCTAAAAATTCCTTTCGCAACATGTTTGGCTTTGAGAATGTCTAGTCATAATATGACAAGACCAATATAGGTGCTAGTGGTTCTATGGCTAATGTTGTTGAAACCACCCATACTCTTAGTGCTAGGGATGGAAAAAGAAAACCCAGCCTGGTCTAGCAAAACGTTTAATATAGAAATTCTCGAGAGAAAGGGAAAAATAACTATTTGCATAAAATGTAAGAGTGATTTTAGTTGTAACAACAATGGTATTACTCACCATTTAGTTAAACATATGGCTAAACATCTAAAAAATAAAATCAATCACAAATTTGGCATGGTTTTTTTGGTATTTTTGAATATTTCTAAGAAAAAATGAGACAATAATTATCTAAATATATTATACATTTTGAAACTCTATGAAAAGACATGGGTTAGACTATTTTTCGGGTTCTAAGGTTGTTGCGATAAGGATAGTTCCTTACCTTTAAGGAGTGCAATGAGTTTTTCTTTGTCTTCGGCTACCAGCTTGGCGGATATATATAGCAGTCTTTTATTTGTCCCATCAGCCGCTAGATTAATCTCTTCTAATGGCTCTTCTACTATGTCAATAGAATCTGCCATGCACCTTGGAGGTGCTCTGACTTCATCACAATATTCCAGGGCATCCTCCTTCAACTCCTGTCATGGCCTATGCTATTATTTGTCTCAAATCCTGGGGTTTTTATGTCTAATAAATTTGTGGTCAGATGTTCTACCTTTGTATCATTTTCAATGGTGTTACTGTAGTGGTGTCAATTTGCAATATAGTGAAGCGGTGCTGGTGAAAACATTACTTAGAGCTTTCCGTTAAAGGATTATAGTGACTTTTTGAAAAATAAATGAGTATTTGATTTGGGAAATCATCAATAATGACTCATATAATAGAGATTAACTTTTTTTGAAAAGGATTTTTTTTTTTGTGATGAGTACAAGTTGTGATAAGGCTACGTTAAACAAGATATATTATAATAAAGTCATACCTCGGGAATGGCCTTCTTAGCTGCAGGTGGTTCGTCGTCTTCATACTCCTCGACGATGGTGTAGTAGTCTTTTCCATTGCTCCCCATCATCCAAACGCATTTGCTTCTCTTTTTGCATTCAGTTGTCTCTGCATGCTTGCTCTCTGGTGGATGATGCAACTTTGTTCCTTCGACCTTGGATGTCCTCGTCTCATCGTCGTCCACCAATTTTGTGAAGTAAATGGCATCCTATAGGTGTGTTTCTGATTTGTCAAAGGGGGCCCTGGTGGCTGGGATCCTTAATGATCGCCCCCGGTATTTGGCTTTGATGCACTGATGATATGTCGATGGGACGAGGGCCAAGTCATGTATCGATGGACGTCCCAAGAGGGCATGATAAGAAGTCCTCCCTGGGATTACCTGGAACTCCTTCATGATGTTGAACGGGCCTATCGCTACCTGTAGCTTGATGCATCCTTTTGTGATGGACGGGTTCCCGTTGAAGTCCTTTACCTCCGGTGGAAATCCCTTGATATCTTCCTTCTGAATGTTCATCAACTCCAGTGTGTAGATGGAAATGAGATTGACGGAGTTTCCTAGGTCAAGCATCAATCTTCTCATTTTGAAACCCCCTATTTTCGCCATGATATACAAGGGTATGTTATGGTAGGGGTCGGCGGCCAACATGTCTTCCGCTATGAATTCCACGCTGCTGTGATCACGTCTGTAAGGCTGTAGAGGGTATCAAAAGACTTCTGCTAATGCTCCGATGGCCAGCTTCCCTGTTGTCGTGTTGGCCCCTTACTTGGTGAAGAACTGTTGCAGCTCTTCGCTCTACTCTAGTTTCTCTATCAAAGCATTGGGCTGGTATTGACTGGCCGGTCAACTACGTTGATACTTCCTCCTTGGGTATGGGCTGGGAGGGGGTTGGTTTCCACGCATGCTGGGTCCTTTTTAACAAACTGGTCCAATTTTACCTTTTGTATGAATAGCCTCCTTAGGGTGAAGCAGTCCATCAAGTCATGATGTGGCATCCCCACCTCCCACCGCACTTGTCTTTCTCTGGGTCCACTCTTGATGGTGGTGGTGGCAGACTGATGGCCCTATCTTCAACTAACTTGTTCAGTATCATTATAACCTCCTCCCTTGTGCAAGGGAAGGGGGAGGGACACTCCTTCTTGCATGGGCATTGTCGTGTTGATATGGCCCTTGTCTGACTCCTCCATTGTTTCTGGGCCTCTTGTCGACTGCGTACGCCTCGTTTCTATTGTATTTGACAGTTCGCTTCGTCGTCTCCGCACACCTCCAGAGCTGGCTAAAGGTCTTGACTTCGATGTTCTCAATGCCAATCTTGTAGGTAGAGTGCATGCCTTGCACAAATTGCTCGATGAAACTTTTCTCAATGGTGTGTTCGTTGAAGACGGAGTGTGTGAGTTTTTGAAACCTCATAATATAGGCCAAAAGATCTTCCCCTGGTCCTTGCTCCATGTTCCGTAGGTCGGCCATTGCTAATTTTCTTTCCAGGGTGAACCACTTCGACAAGAATTTCTTGGTTAGTTTACCCCATGAATCAATACTCCCAGGGGTGAGACTCATGAACCACGTGTACGCCAAACCAGTCAATGACTTTGAGAATTCCCATACCTTGAGATCCTTATCAAGGGCGAAGGAGTCAAGGATGTCCTCGAATTTGTTGATGTGCTCCTGCAGGCTGCCTCTCTGCCCGTCATTTTGTGGCCTTTATTGAGGAGGAGTGTACTCAGTAGGGTAGGGCTTGTACAGGATATGATCAAGTAAGGCTTTTGCAGGACAGTCGAATCCTGGGCTTGGTTGCGGCTTTCAACTACCAGCCCTTTGACATATTCCCTTAGTTCGTCTCGACTAAGAGGGGTCTTTGTTATTGGGTCAGTGCAGGGAAAGGCATGAGACTAGTGGGCTAGTTGGTGGCCTGTCTGGGTCGAAGTCGGGTTGGCTCTATTGGATTGCTCGGGGATGGAGGGGGTCGGGTTGGAGGCATGGTGGCTAGGGTTGGAATTGGAGTTGGGGACGTCGGGAAGAGTGGCAGTGGGAGCCTGTTCGGCTTGGGCCGAGCGGTTGAGCAGGATTTGGAGGGCGCTCCTCGTTTCCTCCTAGCCCTGCTCGAGCTTCCTGAATCTGCTTCCGAAGAGTGCCTCAAACCCGTAGACTTTGTTAAAGAGTATCTCGATATCAGCCCGAATAGGCGTCTCCATTTCAGGTTGGGTTCCACCCCAAGGTTGGTGTTCTCTAGGGCATCGTTCTGCTCCTCAGGGATAGTGGTGAGATTGATTCTCTTTGAAGCCATTCTCTATGATCAAAGACGGAACCGGAGATTCTATTGTAGGTGGGGTAAGGCTTGGGTGTAGATGGTTTCTTTGAAAGACATAGAGAGGCCGGTGAGTAGGGGAATAGGCTCTTTGGGGATGAGGATGTTGAGGTGATGGATCAAAGTGAGAGAGAGTGTTTGAGTGTCAGATGCAAAAAAGTAGAAAATCAAATGAATTTTAATACGAAGAGGATCTCTATTTATGGGGGGAGATCTTGAGATCCTAAAAGGTAGGAGATAAAGATGCTTGTCTCTTATTGGGAAAGGGAATATTGGACTTGCTGTCAATCATGAAGTGCGCCACGTGTCTCATGAGGATTTCCTAAGGATCGGATTTCCTTCTCCTCAAGATCCCTCATTACTCACGTGTGCTACTACTAAGGTTGCAACTTGGGCCACGTTGGCTTGAACCCAACCCGAAAAAGTTGGGTTGGGTTGGGTCAGGTTGATGCTTCGGTTAGGATTAGGGTTGAAATTTATAAACTCGACTTTACTTCGGGTTGGGTTAGGGTTAGGGTTAACCCCTTGGGCAACCCGACCTAACCCGAACCCGACTCTATAGTACATATCATATATAAATATATTATATATGATATATGATATATTGAGTTTTTTATATGCATGATAATTGTATAGCCCCCACCACATACTATCATTTATTTCTTTTAAGATAATCACTTCACTTAATCCTAATTAGAAATACTAAAACATTAATATATATTTTATGTTTTTGAATATTTTATTCTTTATCTCATCTTTGTTGTTTTACCACCCATAGCTTGTTGCCCATAAAAGATCTATTATAAGTCATAACTCATAATAAACTATAATCATTTCAAACACTTTTTTTTTCCTGAATTTTGCACTTAAAGAATCAATAAAAATATTAACAAGCAAATACTAAAACATATGATTAATATATGTAGTGAAAGTTGAGTTAAGATATGAGATTAAGAAGTTCTACATGATTATAAGGGATGGGAAGAAGGTTGGGTTGGCCTCAACCCGACCTAACCCAACCTGACTTGCAGCCTTAGCTACTACCTCTCGTGCTGTTTAACTAAACTTATGTGGCATTGATGGTGTCACCACTTGGCGGGCAATGCTTTATTGACTCCACTTGGTGTTCCTCTATGTCTTTTGCTAGCGTAGGTTCCACGTGCCTCTGGGCGCATGTGGGTTTACCATGTGTTCGGCGCGGGTTTCTCTTTTATCTGGGTATTCGTAAGCCGTTGGTTTATTGCATGTTTTGTTAAACTTTTAATTGTTTCAAAATTTTTGTCATTTTTTACTTAGAAAAAAATGAAAAAGAATGATAAAATAAAAAAAAAACCGACCCAGCTTACAAAACCCACCTTTTATTTCTTTTATTATTATTATTATTAATTTTTTTTGAATCTAAAATGGGGAGGAGAGCCAGCGAGCCAGCTCACTGCGACACTGCCGTTTTCCCTCCCCTCTTCTTTTCATCCATTCTCTCCTCTTCCTCCTCTTTCTTTATCCACCTTTTCCCCTTCTTGCACGCTACAAACGCACATACTCTCTCTCTCTCTCGTGTTGTTGTTGGGGTTTCAGTTCCTAGGTTTGTTATTCTGCGGTACTGCACTGGTTTACCATGAGAGGTTGGTATTTTTCTATTGTTATTCTTGTTTTTTCTTGATTCTTCCTATTGGAGGTTCGTGTTTTTGTGTTCTCGATTGAATTTATTTTTGCTTGACTAGTTTAATTTGTTTATATATATTGTGTCTCCTTCCTTGCCAGTAAAAGACTACTTATAGGGGTTTATTGATTTTCAATTTTTTTTTTCTCTAGGATCAGGATAGAATGATAGAGGTGTATGGATAGGATTGAGGCTAATTGCTTGAAGGTCATCTTCATTTCTATTATTAGTTACAGGGTAGCATTCAATGATTTTTTTTTTCTTTATTACCGTTATTTGTTCTCCTGGGCCAGGAAATTGATGAAGTTTCTAAAATGCATCTATTTCAGTTGTAATTGTTTAATTTATTTTTAATACAAAAGGTAAACATTTTCTTAAGGGAGAAGAACAGAGGAAAATCGATATAAGGAAGCAGAAGTAGCAGTGAAGAATGAATCTTTTTTCTTTTAACATTTGTTAAGTTCAATTTTGTTTCCTTAACTCTTTTGTTTTTTTTAGGTCGGCTGTGTTTATATTTATTTCCTCGGTAGTTGTTGATTTGTTTATATTTATTCTGGTTACTGATATTTTATACTAATAGAAGTTACTGATTTCCTTGTTTATTTTTGTGTTTTTTGAGGTAAGAATCCTTGTCATTTACACCATGATGAGCTGGAAGCAGTTCTCTATGTCTATCAAAAGCTTAGAAAGGCTGTAGTTGTCTCTCTTGCTATCTCTCCTTTACCTTGTTGCTCTGGTCCATCCTTTTTTTCATCTATTTTGTGTTCAAGATTTTAAATTCACCTAGGAGAACAGAGATGATGCTTGTAACTTGTGGATCAGGTTAACTTTGCTATGAACTTTCATTTCAATTGCACAACCCCTGATCAGTCACGGCAAGACTGCAAAGCAAGTTCAAGATGCTATAACGTCTCTTTTGTCAATAGTCAAACGCTCTAACACAGACTCATCTTGTTGGTTGGTGTTTATGGTCATGGAGGAAGGGGTAAAGGGAACAATAACGTCCCTTTCGTCCATTTTCCCAGTTGAAGAAGCCCAGAAGGCTGCGAAGCGAGTACAAGATGCAATTGCAGACCGGCAGAAAGAGCTGGAGCATCTTCACAGCTTCATCTCTGACAACATCAATCTTGTCAATCTTGTCCAGAAACTTCCCGATGAACTCTTCCATGATGTCATGGCAAGAGATGATACAGAATGAACACTCTTCTCATATGCATACTTTTTTTATGTTTTCAAAATTTTTATGTTGTTCCTCGTCTCAATTGATTGTTCCTTTGATAATATGCAGGTTCCCTTTGGGAAAGCAGCATTCTTTCCTGGTCGTCTGGTTCACAGCAATGAATTCCTGGTAATTTAATATTCAATGATTATTTCAACTATTATTCTTTTTATGGTTTTTGGTTTCTTTTTTATCTGCCTTTTAGTGATTTTCCAAGTTTGGTGAGATTTCACCAGTGGATGCTTTCTGGTTCTGTTAAATTTCTAGGAGTTTAATGGAGAGGTAAAGTTGACCCCCAAAAAATGATTTGATCAATAGTGTTAGCATTCCAAGAGTGATTCCAGACTAACATAATCATTGATTATCTAGTATCTAGTAGGTCAGTGAACCTTGTACATGTTAATAAAACTTCCTCTAGCTGATAATTTTATATACTCACTGCACTTGGTATTTTTCCTCAACAATTTCATGCCTATCATGTTGCATACTTTTCATATGATTGCAGGTTCTTTTAGGAGAAGGGTATTATGCTGAACGGACTTGCAAACAAACTATAGAGATTCTACAGAGGAGAGGAAAGTTTTTGGAGTCCCAAGTTGAGTCCCTCAAGGCCAACTTGATGGACCTTAAAGCTGAGGCTTCATTTTTTGATGCTACAGCTGCTGAAGCTGCTGTGAGTTCCTCATTTTGTTTATTGTTATATTAATTATGTAATCTGGGTTTTGCCTTTCCTTCCTCTGGATATGCATGGTTTCTTATAAAAAGGTGATAACTTACATTTTTTTTTTTATAATCTTCTTTCTAGAGATTCTGAAATTCTACATATTAGTTTTCTTAACGACATCACACACACACACACACACGTTTCTGATCTAAATAGAAACAGGTTTAGTGGCAACATTAAACATTTTGGATGTGCTAACTTGCCCAAGTCTGTAAATATCTGTATCCTACCTAGGCTTGAAGTGAAAATATACATTCTTGAGGGGTACTCTGAGAGATGTAAAGGGAAAGGCAGAGGCTCAACCTGAAAGGTTCTCAAGTGTGAAATGCAACTTGACCTATCTAAATTTGGCGAAAGCTGTCCATATTTATCCATGACATGTGCCTCCAGTTGGTTATAACTAATTTCTGACTAATGCTGTCGTAGATGCAGTTTATAATTGTTCATTGTGTTTATTTGGTATGTTGCTTTGTGGTAGTGGCAGAAGCAGTTCCTTTTAATTAAAGCAACGTTAGGTATTAATTAATTGGATGTTCATTACTGAAGTTGCAGGTCTGTTGTTTATGGGACTGGGATGTTTTTGAGATAACCAATATTGTTCTAAACATTTTTGGGTTCCACTTAATATTACTTGGATTGTCTGTCTATATTTTTGTTTTATTCTTATAACAGGAAGGTCTCGTTGAAATAAGGGAGGACTATGTTGAAGAAAATCCTGCAGAAAAGATGCCTAAATCAGGTAGAAACCTGCTTTTTCAAGGTTTATAAAACTTGTGTGTTTGCAAAGTGACACCAGAATGTTTGTTTGAATGGTAACTGTACCTTTATATATGTGGAAAATATTATGCACATGGTAGAGAGTAAGTATGCTTGAACATCTGGAAGTTCCAATGCCTTACACATAGTTTCCTTCCTCTAACAATCAGTTACCAAATTCCTCCAAAGTTGTTCCCCAATAGAAGTGGGGTCTCTTAAAACCTTGCCTAGCCAAAGTGTTATCAAACTGTTTGCTGACCTTTTGGTCCATTTGATTTCAGCTGCTAGTTCCCTTGACAGTCGTTTTGTCTATGTTGCCATGTGCCTTGATCCAGTTGATAACCACCCTTGAATCCCCTTTCAGTTCAGCCCAGTTTAAGACCTTGTAGCACCACTTCCAGTTGAGCCCTGGTTGAGTCTCCTTGGCCAATCAACTCTGAGAAAATCAATCATAATAACGTCTCCAATGGCATTTCTACAATCCCCCATACCTGGAGGCCCTAGGTTTCAAATAGTACATCTATCAAATTTAAGTTTTACTAGTGTTATCAAAGTGTAGATTAGTTGACTAACCAGCTAGTTGAGGACCAGACCAATTGCATCACTACTAACTAGTCTTTGGGTACTCATGATGTGGTTGCCTAGGACAACTAAGCATCAACTAATTGACCTAGTCAACTACAAAGTCATTTTAAAGCTCTGGTAGAGATAGAGAACCCTAGCTTAATCCTACGGTGCTTAATCTCTTATATGCAGGGGAAAGATTTTAACTGTGGATTGCTGTGGGTTGTTGTGTTTCGTTAGGAGTGAAAAGACTAAGGAGGCTGAAAGGCAAAGGATAATAGGTGGGAAATGCATTCAGGGTTTCATAGGTGTAAAATGGGGCTGAGCAGAGGGAGCATAGGGAGAGGGAGAGTCAAAGGAGATGAAGGGCAAGGATGCCATTCTAGAAAATTGTAAGGGCATTAGTGAAAAGGTCAAAATATTTAAATTTAAAGGTATTCATCTTTGTCAATGGCAAAAGAGACATTGACTGGAGATTGGATGAGAGATCAAAGGTTTGGAAAGATCTGATTGGGAAGAAAACTGAAATCAGATGCAAGGGCAACTATTTGTGGCACATAACAAGGTATGCGCACAAACAAGAATTGTAGAATATATCAATAGAAGGAAGAGAAAGTGCGAGGACAGAGGTTTCTCCCCAACTCTGGTAAATGAAAATGTTGGGAAAGGGGTAGAAGAAATTGAAATCAGTCAAATCAAGGTTTAGAAAATTGATTCGAAATTGGAATTGCTTTGTTGTTCACCAATTTGTAAGTCAGATGGTTTGATCATCCAATTCAAAGGTTTAGCTTGTGACATTTTTAAAATTAAAAAAAAAGATTAAAATAAAATGACCCAGGAACCCATTGCTCAAGTAAAAAATAGTGGTTGAACCATTTGGGTCAGTTGTTCACTAACTGATTCAGCAGTTTTTTGGAAAATCCATGCCAGATGCAAAACAGAACCAGATAGGTGACCGGTTCAGCTGCTTGGGTCAACAACATTTTTAAAACCATGGTCAAAATAGTAGTAAGGGGTGAAACTAATGGCAACATTGAAGCAGAAAATTAAGAAATGGAGTCAAAAGGGTGATGGTGGACTTTGGAATAAAAAAAAGACCTAGTTGATAGAATTCTTAAAAGTTGGTCAAGCTATCTGGTGGATAAGTTCTTTTCAAGGTAAATGAACCTTCTGATTTATTCTTTGATTCTGAAACAAGAAACAAATCTATAGAGGGAGGGAGGGATTGGAAATGGTATAGAACAGGCACAAGAGGTGCCATTGTGATTAGTTTTTTTTTTTTTTATTTTTTGATTAGCAAAAGAACTGAAAATTTTATTAAGATGTACTAAATCTTGATATTACAATATGCCAGATCAATCCCCACAAGTTACATATATTACAATTGTGCTCAAAACAATTGCTGCCTATATACCCCTTGTTTTGCTATAGTATCAGCCATCCCATTTGCAATCCTTCTTATCCAATTGAGTGTAATGTTTAACTCCTGTCTTATGCTCTTTCTATTTCCCTAAACTCATGCCTATAGATCCATGGCATGACTTTTCACATGGCTGTCCAGGTTTAGTGGCTGGCCGAATTTTTAAAATTTTCTAACCCAACCCGGGAACCGATTTCTTGGTGATTTTGAAATATGAAATTTCGGGGTCGATCTTGCACTGAACTGGTGTAGTGGCTAGAACAAGTGTAAACTGTGAAGGTGTAGTGTGCCATGGAACATTGGAATTAGGGGTGCAAATGGATTGGATCATGATCCAATCCAAGTTCGAATCCAATCCTATTTTGTAGGATTCAGATATCCCCTTGTCGGATATTCGGATCTGATGGGATCAAATAATAGGATCTGATTAAAAATTGGATTGAATTCGGATCATCTCCTATTCAATCTGAAAAAATCCGATTTGATTATATATATGTGTTGTTTATTTATTTATTTATTTATAAATATGTTTATATTATTTTTTGTAATTTATTTATTTATTTGTAAAAATACATGTATATATATGATGAAAATAGTGAAAAAATACTTGCTTTTTTTCGGTTTTTCTTTATATAAACTGTTATGTTTTTCCTTTTAATAACTTATTAAAATTTCCAGAAATTAAATCAGATTGATCATATTCGGATATTTTACATCCTTAATGGATTCAGATTCGAATTGACGTTTGTGAGATCCAATCGGATAGGATCTACAATTTGTATTATTGATTGGATTTGGATATACTCGTATTCGAATCTGATCTGACCCATTTCCCTAATTGGAGTAGCTTAGATCTTGTGGATAAAACATCTACTAGCTAAATTGGGTTTTCCTAATTTAGCCTCTATGTCATCACATTGCAACAACAAAGTTGCCATCAATATAGCCCATAACCCAATTCAACATGACAGAACCAAACATAATTTTTTTTTGGAAGGTAAATAAAAAAAATTCTAGAAGAGAAAGTTAATACAGAGATAGGTGAAAAGGAATCACCTTCCACAAAAGAAGAAAAACCCAGTGATATTTGATGTGTGATCTTTGCCCTTGCTTGTGTAGGTTGGGTATGAAAAGTAGTTCTATTGCAGAGAATTTTGAGATCAATCAAGGTGGAAAGGAAGTTTAAGAGTGTGTGGATCTTCTGGCAAAACAACAGTCAACTGAACCTTAGGTGGAAAGAAAGATTCAAGATGGTGGAAAGAATCTAGAAATGGCCTATTCTCAGTCAAATTGTTCCACAAGTATTTGTCAAGGTCAAATGGAGAAACTTCAGATTTGAAAGGCATCTGGGGAAACCCTATCCCCCAACGGGTGGAAGCTTTTCCTTGGCTAGTGTTGTTGGATAGCATTTTGACATTAAACCATTTTCAAAACAGAGGAGAATGTCTTTAATTTGCTTATAAGTAACTTTTCGCCAAGTTCATTTGGGGTTTCTTCTTTAGGCTCTTCAAGGTTGGCGGGTGGTCCCCAATTCTATGGAAGAGATTTTCTCCAAATGGCCAAAGGTAAAAGGAAATGTCAAGGCAAAGACCGCTTGGAGCTGCATTCCTTTTGCAGTTTGTTGGGAATTATGGATTGAAAGAAATAGAACAATATTTGATATGAAGTCTTGAACAAGGGAGCATATCACACTTCTATGCGGCAAAAGAACACTGGGTTCTCATTCTCCTAGAGTTTGAAGGAATCACAAAGGAAGACCTTGGTTCTGGGTTTTGGAACATTTTGGAGTTGGCCTAATAGTTTCCCCTTTGTTTGGTTTATGGTTTTCTCCTTTTTTTTCTTTTCAATGTATCCTTTATGTTTGCTCTGCTTTCCTTTGTAGCTTTCTCATCACTATCAGATGTACTTCTTTCTTCTCTTAATAAATTTTATTTTTTATTTACCACAAAAAAAAACAAGAAAAAAAAATCCAGGATTAAAAACCAAAGTCAGCCCCTCCCAAGAGTCCCTAACATACTCAAAGAAAAAGCACAAACCCAACCATAGTTTTCAAGGCGCCAAGCTAGGCGACAGGGGGGCACCTATTCGCCTAGGCGATGGATTTTTTTTTTAAGTAAAAACATGTATCATAGGGTAGTTCCCTAGGTTCCATAATCATATTTGCTTAATAAATATCCATAATTTTCATAAGAAAAGTATAGACTTCATGTTAAAGTATAGAAAATCAACATATTCCAACATATTCATGAGAAGAAAAAGAAGAAAGAAAAGAAAATTCAAAAAATATAGGGGCTGAACCCCTATTTCTGTTATAGGAAAAGAAGAAAAGAAATTAGTATATAAACACACAAAATGGATAATTTAGTTTAAAAATGTCTATTTTATAATTATAACCTCAAAAAATTAAGAATATAAAAGTTTGTTATAACACGCTATAGAAAACTGCTTGGTGATTAGGCGAGGCGAGACTCCAAGGGTGCTTTGTCGCCTAGGCGTCGCCTTGACAACTATGAACCCAACACTTCTCAAAAACCAAATCCAAAAACAACCTTGCTCTACAACCCTCCAAACCTTACAACACTCTTATGCTCGACCTGACAAAAACTTTTCCTTACTGCACTTAAAACCCCTAAAGCCCTCTAACAGAAAAATACCTTCTTACCTATTTATTTCAGCAGCTTTGGGAGAAACTTCTTTGTTTTTCTTAACAATCTTCTTCAATTTCTTCATCTTCTTATCAGGATCCATCCCAAATAAACCCTCTTCAACCTTGCGAAAACTTTTGACATTGGGACTGCATTCTGATTCTTCTCCTTTTTGAATCTTCTGACTGCGTTAGGTATCCTCTTTTCTCCTTGCACAACCCCTGCCTTATCATTTATCCTTTCAAGTTCCAAGACTACATTTTTCTCAAAAATCTGATCCACCTTTTCCTCACCATCCCTGCCATACTTCCTCCCTGAGTGAATTCTGTCTCTCCTGAGTCTTACCATATCTTGCCAAAGAATTCTCCCCAATCAATTTCCAATTATTTCTCCCTGTCCTTCAAATACATGTGATGTTTTTCTACCTGGCTAAAAACTTGCAAATTCCTCCCTACCAATGAAGGACAGACAAAATTTTCATTACCATCTCCGTTGTTACCACAGTCTCCAAATTAATAGATCTCCAAGTTTCATGCATTTCATCAATGACTATACCTTCCTCAGCTGATTCGTCTTCTCTACCATCTAAGTTTCCCTTCTCTCCAACTGCATCTTTGAATTCCTTTTCTTTCTCTTTTGAAACAGTCTTTAATCTATACTTCCTTTTTCTTTTGAAAACCCTTGACTGACCATCTTTGCAATCTCCTCTCTCAACACATCTCTTCCCTCCTTGAAATTCCCCTTCCTCCAATCTATTCACACCAAATATATAAAAATGAACGGACACTATTTATGAGAAAGTTGAAAAGGGTGATTTTTTCTTGGATTTAAGTTGGGTAAATATAGAACCCAACCTGAGGGGGAGTGTTCTAATACTTCAGTTATTTTGGTGTACAGCAGTTATGTCTTTTCTACCTTTCAAAACTCTTAATATAAGAAGAGTGTGGGTGCTGCCATACTAATGATAAATTTCTTTCAAAACTTCTCTCTCATCTCTTCTTCTCTCTGTCTTAATTATCTATGACTATGACAGATACAATACAAAGCTGCTTATTCTTCTCAAGCCAATGTCTCCAATTGATGGACCACATCTAAAAGGTTTTCTGGGACAAATTAGCCCAATCGTATCACCTTAGCCATTGAGTTGGCATTATAAAGTTATGAGAAAAATGTCTATTTATAAGATGGTGAAAATCTGCATCTGTAGGCATTCATCAAAAAAAAAAAAAATTTCTGCATCGGTAGGCCCATTTTGAAGGCCATCATTTTGAGTTAGTCTCTAGCATTGCAGACAAGCTAAAGTGCCTTGACATTTATATGCTGCAGATTCTAATTAAAGGAGCGTTATGGGTGGCTAAGATGCTTGATGATAGCCAATATGATAGTCCTCAGTAGGATTTAATGAGGAATTGGTCTGCACTTGCCGTCACTTCCTCTACGAAGCCTAGAGTCCAAGTAACTTGGACTCCGCCGATGGAGGGTTTTATTAAGCTGAACTTTGACGGAAGTAGTCAGGGTAACCCAGGACCGTCTGGGATTGGTGGTGTACTGAGAGATGAGAGCACAACATTATTGCCTTTTTTTCGGGACTGGTGGGAATAGGAGACTCTGTGAGGGCTGAATTCCTAGCTGTGGCACAGGGGGTACAGATTGCCTATCAACTCGGAGTGCAAAACTTAATAATTGAAGGAGACTCCAAGGTGGTAGTAGGATGGTTGGCTGACCCCGGTACTGTCATTTGGAACTTTAAGGATATTTTAAAAAAGGTTAAATGGCTATTAAGGGGTATGACAGTTAGAGTTCAGTGGTTGGGTAGATCGGCTAATGCCTTGGCTGATTATCTTGCTAAACAAGGGGCTACTCAGGTTTCATTGTATTGGGCTTCATTGTAATTTTCTTTTTCCTTTGTTATGTTCTTTAACTAAAGGGTTGATGGTTTCTTCCATCTCCCCTCTTTAAAGGGGAGGTAGCATCTCGTGCCTCTCCCTAAGTTGTACTATCTTTGACTTTGATTTAATAAATCTGAATATTCACTGATCAAAAAATACGATAGTCCTCAGTACCAACTTAAAATTTTCTAGTGAGAATGGACAGTGTTCTGTTGTGTTGTCAGAAAATGTTAGACAAAGTAGCATCTACATCAAGGACATGCATATTTCTATTGATGCCATTTGTTGCTGAACTTTGGCCTTATTTTATGTGGATATTCACATATGCTAAAGATTGGCCAGCAATAATGTCCCAAGTTTGTATAAAATAATAAAAGTAGAATTTCATTCTCTTTGACAGGATTATCCAAACCAGATTCATCTGAAGCAGAGAATGTGAAACTTGTTGCTGAAGATGAAGAGTATGCTCGAATAATGTCTAGGTTAGATGAACTTGAGAAAGAAGAACTTGCAGCTCAAAGTGCCAATGAGGATGATGATGAGGAAGCTGAAACTGATTTTGGGTGTTCAATTAATCAGGAATCTTTTGATGATCATTTCAAAAGTTTAGAGGTAATGTTTGAAATCAGTTGGCTTTTGGTCTGTGTGGTATGGAAAAAATGGCATTCACTGTGGATAAGTCAAAATTTTGTTGAATCATGGCTAAATTAACTTCAATTATGGATTGAATTGGAGCCTCAGTTAAGGAGTCAAGTACTGCAGTCGAAGGTTAAAACTCCTATAACCACTGCAACAAAAGAGCCTTTAGGAGGAAATTTCTTGAAGCAAGATTCCAGTGATCACCCTCCTGTAAGTTACTCCAACTTTGTTTTTGGTTTATTTCATTGCATCATTGTTTGTATGTCCCTTGTTAGTTACAAATGCTATTCCCTTAGGGAACTTATTAAATTGTTTGCTTAACAGTTGAAAGTGCAGTTTGAAGATTCAAAGATTCATTATGTCCCTAAAGGTCAGTTGGTCAAACATTCTTTTCTATCTTATATAAGAAGCATGTGTCAATGCTAGTACTTTGTTTATTTGAAGAATATAATTTGTCAGATCATATTTCCCGTTGTTCAAGATTTGGTGTTAATATTGAGCTAAAATTTTTGTTTTAACTAATATATTATGTTGTCTTTGGATGAAGTTTAGTTCTTGAGAATATTATATATTTTATAATTTTTTAGAGATATGAAATGAAGTTCCTGAACTGTGAACTCTTTGATAAGGACTAGTAGATGCTCATTTGGTGTAGTGGTAATAGTTGAAAGGGATTTAAAAAAATGAAATTGTAAATGTTAAAAGATTTGGGGATAGAATAGTTTTAATTAGACTTCTTTTAGGTGAGGAAATCATTAACATAATTAATGCTTATTGCCCCTCAAGTGGGTCTAGAAGAAAACATTGAAAGACAATTTTGGGAAAACTTAGAAGGATTAATTGAAGAAATTCCAAATGAAGAGAATATTTTTATGGGAGGAGACTTAAATGGGTATTTAGGGAAAAGAAGTATAGGATACGATACGGTGCATGGAGGATTTGGGTTTGGGGAGAGCAATGAATGAGGTGCAATATTAATTTTGTAGTAGCTTATGATATGGTAATTTTAAACACCTTTTTCCAAAAGGATGATGAACACTTAACATTTATAAGTGGGTCAAATTCCTTACAAGGAGAATAGAACGAATGATGTGTAAAGATTGCAAAGTAATTTTGTTAGTTTTTTGACAAAAAATTTGAATTGTTCCGTGACCTTTCTTCCTGGTAATTGTGTTTTGCAAGATCTGGAGTCAAAGAAGATGATTGGGAGTGGTTATGAAGTGAATGGAGTCTACCTTTTGGTTGTGATTCTGAGACATCAGGGTCATCGTGTTAGCAACAGCAATAGTAGCGGATCAGAGTTAGTGAACCAGATTATTCTTTGGCACAATTGCTTGGGACATCTTTCTTTTAGTTCTTTGAAATGTTTTTTCCCAAAGTTGTTTGAGTCTGTTCAGTTATTTACTTTGGAGTGTGAGAGTTGTCAGTTAGGAAAGTATTGTAGACAGTCTTTTAAACCAAGTAATAAAAGAAGTACTTTTGCTTTTGATATTGTTCACACTGATGTATGGGGGCCATATCTATCATATACCTGCCATGGAAGGATTCCGTTACTTTCTCTTGTTTGTGGATGACTATACACGAAATTATTGGATATATTTGATGAGATCACGTGATGGGGTTCCTAACTTGGTACGACAGTTCCACCAGATGGTTCTCACACAATTTGGAGTGAGAACTAAGGATTTTAGATCAGATAATGCCAAAGAGTACTTTGATAAGGACCTAACTATGTATCTCTTAGAACATGGTATAGTTCATCAGAGCAATTGTGCATATACACCGCAGTAGAATGGATTTGCTGAGAGGAAAAACAGATAAATTGTGGAGGTGGCAAGGAGTTGTGCTTCAGTTCCTGTGCAGTTATGGGGAGATGCAGTTCTTACAGCCATGCATTTGATTAACCGTGTTCCTTCATGGACTTTGGGGTTTAAGGTGCCATTTAGTCTTCTTTTTCCAGATGGGGAGATATTTCATATACCTCTGAGGGTTTTTGGTTGTGTTTCCTTTGTTTACATTCTTGGCCCTCATCGCAAGAAATTTGATCATAAGGCCAAGAAATGTGTTTTTCTTGGGTATGCTCAGAACCAAAAAGGGTATTGTTGTTATGACCCAGTGACGATGAGCTGATTTGTCACTATGGATGTTACTTTCTTTGAATCCACCTTCTTCTCGAGTGGTTTTCCTTAGGGGGAGAGTTTTGGGGAGGAGAACTCACAATTTGTTTCTCTTCTTGTTTCTTTGGTGCTTCCATCAATTCAGCCAACACCTCCATCAGTTTAGCTAGCACCTACATTAGTTCAACCAGCACCTGCACTTCCAGTTTCATTACCTGAGCCACTACGGGCAGCCTCACAGAAATATCAGTGTTGGTAGATGATGGTTGACTCCACACATCCTCAACCCACACCACTCTTTGTTAGTCCTTTTGAAACTCTAGATTCGGCAGATACAGTTCCAGGTATTCCTCTTGAGCCTGTTATGTTTTCTAATGATAATGTTCCTATCCCTAACACCATTGTTGCAGCTGATCCCATTGACTTTGATCTTCCCATTACACTTCGTAAGGAGAAGAGAAAGTGTACAACCCACTGCATTTCACACCATCTTTCCTACAATGCCTTGTCACCCTCCTACCGTTCTTTTTTTTCTTCCTTGGATTCTGTGTCTATACCCAGGAATGTTATTGAGTCTCTCTCCAAACTTGAGTGGAAAATAACCATGCAAGATGAGATGGATGCTTTGGTCAAAAACCAAACTTGGTAAATAGTTGATCTCTCCTTAGACAAGGAGACAGTCAGATGTAGATGGGTATTCACAGTGAAGCATAAGGTGAGGTACAAGGCAAGGTTGGTGGCAAAAGGGTATACTCAGACCTATGGTGTTGATTATCTAGAAACCTTTGCACCAGTAGCTAAGATGAGTTCAGTTTGTATCCTTTTATCTCTAGTAGCCACCTATTCATGGCCTTTGTTCTAGTTTGATGTAAAAAATGCCTTCCTCAATGGTGATTTATAGGAGGAGGTATATATAGACATTCCAATAGGCTTTTATGAAAATGTTAGTAAAGGAAAGGTGTGCAGACTTCGAAAATCTCTGTATGAATTGAAACAGTCACGTAGGACTTGGTTTGACAGGTTCAGAGGGGTACTCATCTGTTTTGGATACACACAGACACAGTCTGATCACACCCTCTTTGTGAAGAGGAGAGATGCTCTGGTGTTAATTCTGATTGTGTATGTGGATGATATAGTGGTGACAGGAAATGATCTGGAGGAGATTGATGATCTCAAAAAATCATTGCAGCAAGAATTTGAAATCAAAGATCTTGGTGTGCTCAAATACTTCTTGGGGATTGAAGTTGCAAGATCAAAGCATGGGATCTTCATTTCACAGAGAGTATGTATTTGACCTACTGTAGGAGACTGGGAAGTTGGGGACCAAACTAGTAGACACTCCTATTGATCCAAATCACAAAATTAATGGTGTGGATGGTGAGTTGGTAAAGGATGTGGGGAGATATCAAAGAATGGTGGGTTGACTGCTATATTTGTGTATGACACGACCAGATATTGCTTATGCTGTCAGTGTTGTGAGTCGGTACATGCATGCACCTCGGGTTCAACACTGGGAAGCTATTGAGAGAATACTTGCATATTTGAAAAAACACCCTGGAAGAGGCATTCTTTTCTCAAATCATGAGAATCTGAAGCTAGAATCCTATAYAGAYGCAGACTAGGCAGGATGCTTAGATGACAGGAGGTCTACATCAGGAGTGTGTACCTTTGTAGGTGGAAACTTGATCTCCTAGAAAAGTAAGAAGCAAGTGGTTGTGGCAAGGTCAAGTGTAGAGGCTAAGTATAATCCATGGCTCATGGTGTCTCAGAACTTCTTTGTGTTAGATCTCTTTTGAGTGAGATTGGGGTAAAAGCAGTGGAACCTATGATGTTATACTGTGACAATCAGGTTGCAATCAATATTGCCCACAATCCAATTCAGCATGATAGGACAAAACACATTGAAGTTGATAGACATTTTATAAGAGAAAGGGTAACAACCGGAGAAGTTTGTTTGCCTTATATCTCTTTAGAGTTGCAGCTGGTTGATGTTCTCATTAAAGGGGTGGCAAAGAACAAGCTTGAACATGATCTACGCAAGTTGGGAATGTGTGACATTTACTCCCAACTTGAGGGGGAGAGTTGAAGATTAATCAGTTTTATGATGCTTTTTTGAGTAGATGTTTTATGTTAGTTGTTAGATAGGAGGTGGGGACCATAGTAGTTATGCGATTCCAAATTTTATTATGGCCCCGTTTGGCGCATCTTTCCGTGCGGTCTTTTGGCTGCTTACAAGCCGGGAAGACCGAAAATCGGTCTATTCCTATTTGGCATGTGGAAGATCTTTGCTGTGTCTTCTGCAGGAATCCCATTTTGGGCTGATTTTGGGAAGCTCCAAATGAAGCTTTCCGCGTCTTCCGCATTTTAATCTCACGCGGAAAGACCCGAAATGACACACGGAAAGATGCGCGTCTGCCAAACGGTCTTCGGGCTACCCAGATCTTATGTCAAAAGCTCAATGCGTCTATTGATTGTCAGAACTATGAGAAGATCTTCTCAAAAAGACTTGCCAAACGAGCCCTATGTTTTTGAGTGTTATATATGCTGTTTTATGTTTTGCCGCCCTATAAGGCACAGTTGTCTTTGTACTGTTCTATTATTTTTWGTATAAATAATAAGTGAAGGGGGTGGCCATATCATTGCTCTCTTTTCTTTTCAACTTCTCTTATTCTCTTCTTCTCCTTCTCTCTTCAAGAAACCACTTTTCTTTCATATTTTTTAATTCAGCAGATTTCTACTAGTTCAATAAAACAATTGTAAGGCAAGTTATGTTATATGGAGTCGAGTGTTGGGTAGTCAAAGAACAAATGCCCAGATAATAAATGTGGCAGAAAATGTGAATGAAAAGATGGATGAATGGAAAAGACTAGAATGGATAGGATTAGGAATGAAGTTATCTATAGGAACCTAGGAGTAGCTCCAATAAGTGATAAAATGAGAGAGAGTAGACTGAGATGGTATGGGCATGTGCATAGAAGATCACCAACTGTGCTGTTAGAAGAGGTGATTTGTTACACATTGAACCTGTAGAAGAGCTCGGGGTAGACAAAAAAGGACATTGGTAGAAGTAGTAAGAAATGATTGAAGCACTAATAATTTAACAGTGTATAAGGCTTTAAATAGAACAGATTGGCGAAACAAGATTCGTGTATCTGACCCCGTATAGTTGGGATAAGGCATGGATTGAAATTTAGTCTGTGCTATCTGCCATAATCTCACCATCTTATTTTCTTAGCTTGTAAAATTCACTTTG